AAACGCACAATAGCAACAATGCTTGATCTTCATCATCGATCTTCACATTAATATTTTCAAGATCAAGAACCAGCTTGTTGAACATATCCAACTGCTCAGCCAACACTTTGTCTTCAATCATCTTGAATGAATACAAAGCTTGCTTCAAGTAGAGTCGACTTACCAGCGATTTGGTCATGTACAAAATTTCAAGTTTCACCCATAACCCTGATGTTGTCGTATCCTTTGATGCCTATCGAAGAACCTTATCACCAAGACTCAACAAGATTGCACCGTGTGCTTTCTCTATCATGGTCATCTTTTCTTTTTCCGTTAACGCAATGTCTATAGTTGCCGCTCCCTTCAACATTTCTAAACAATCCTGCTGAACCAATAAAGCTTTCATCTTCAATCGCCACAGACCGAAATCGTTCACTCTGGTGAAATTTTCATTCTCATACTTTGTCGAAGGCATCTTTTCCACGCTCACCGCACCAATTTGTTATGAAAAAGGATACCTTGGAAATAAAATATAATATGTTTCCTTATTAGAGGAAAACTTTCAAGTGTAGAAAATATGATAAACAAGATTAAAAACAAGGATTGGTTATAACTGGTATTCTTTACTTTCTCTTAAATCAAGATTACAAGTGTTACAAGAACAACAAATAACACTCTCACTCTAAATTAGGATTTGCAATATACAATGATGAGAGACTAGTATGCTATTTATAATAAACCTAACATACTAAACTAATGGGTTTTTTCACCAATACCCATTACAAGCTAACTTAAGGTACAAGCTAACTTAAATAATTTGACATAACAAACAATCCTATTTCGAAATACTAACAACCCTAACATTTTGACACCCACATACTAGAACATCATTCAACTAGTATATAGGTCTTCAACACCAGTATGTGAACATACTTGACGACATGCATAAATTTTGTCAAACCATAAGGTACTCTTCGATCCAATATCTCACAGAAATGTATTAACCAAGTTTTAATATTTCATTAATCAAAAGTAATTTAAAAAATATATAAAAAAATAATAAAAATATTGTTTATGTATTTGTGAAAGTGTCGTGATATCATTTTTCTTTTGAAATATATACAACCTATTTGACTAGATTTATAGCCTTAGTCAAATATATCCTGTGAATTTCTTAATACACCCCATGACCTTCTTACACACCACGTAAAATTTCATAAGTGTCCCTTAAAACCAGAAGTATACTTCCGATTCACATCATGCTATACATGAATTACATTGGAAAGGTTGGATGTAAACCAAAAATATACTTTTGGTTCCAAACTATAAGTATACTTTCGGTTCCTGGATGCACTAAATGGTGCCATTCCCCTTCCCCTCCCATTACAATAACCGTTTTCAAAACAAAACATAAAACTCTCTCAAACCCTTATTACATCCTTCACATATTTGGTCAAAAAATCATCAAAAATCATCAAGCATTCGTTAAATATAGCATTTTAACGCGATCAATCAAGCAAAATCAACACCAATCAATCAAGTAAGTTATTTTTCAAATTTTTAGAGTTTATGTAATTTCTACTCAAATTAGTGAATTATGATTTGAATTGTGATATTGTAGCTTGTTATCAATATTAGGAGTCATTATAAATGTGTTTCTAAAGTTAATTTCGTGATCAATGCCCGTTTTATGAGCTCATTGAGGGGACTGGGACGCCATTTTTGTTGCTTCTATTATCGCATCAGGAACTGGAATTAAATTTCCGATTTTGTCTAGAACAAAATTAGAAGTATACTTTCAGTTTATGTATGTGTCTGTTTTAAGGCTTATTTTTCACATTGGACCTTATGTTAACATTTTTTCGTACTTCTATAGGAGATATAGATGAGAGACCGTCACGATTGAGGCACGGTAGAGTTACACAACAAGCTTTTGTGCAGAGAGAAAGAAGTCAGACTACTCAACCTCCTTCTTCCTCTACACCACCAGTACCGGATGAACCACCTATAGCTTTACCCTTCAGTGTGCCTGCTTTGACGTCGACCTCCTGCATCATACGAGATTCTCCTTTTCATCCTTCGCCACCCCCATCCTCCTGCAGACACACTTCTTCATCTAGCGTATTTGAGGCGGGATCCACATTCGGTACCCAGGCGACACCTGAGGCCCATGCATCATCACAACTTCAGTCCCATACGCCATCTGAGGTGGTTCCTCAGTCATCCCAAGCACTTGAGGCGACACCCGAGGCTGCACCTGAGGCTACACCTGAGGCTACACCAGTGAAACCTAAGCCTACACATGGGGCCCCTCAGGCTTTTAGAGGAGGATAGTCTGATTTATCACTTCTGCCTCTTTATCCCAACCATGTTGCTAGATATATCTGGGATGGACATGTATAATTTTGCATTTTTATTTCTATTACGAATTTTATTGTGAATTTTATTATGAATTTTGACATGAATTTTATTATGCAGAAACATGATACACTTAAGGTCATTAGCCATGGGCGGAAGATATGTAAACTTGTGCCGTCTGCTGAGCCATGGTTTGATGAGCTTTTATGACTTATAGGGTTGAAAGATTTGGCCCTGTGTGGATATAACATGGTCAACTGGGGTATGATAAACGCTTTTATTGAGATTTGGCACCATGAGACATTGTCATTTCATCTACCACATGGTGAGATGACGATCACACTCGACGATGTCGCGTGTCTGCTTCATATGCCGATCAAAGGGACTTTCTTGGATCATGATAGGATCGACAAAGAGGAGGCATTGGATTTGCTGGTTCATAAGTTGGGAGTTACCCTTGAAAATGGCATGGGAGAGATTAATAAGACTTGTGGTTGCCACGTCAGGTATAACTATTTGGCTAGGGTGTTTAGGAATGAGATTAGGCGTGCACGAGAGGATCATGGTGATCTTGAGAAGGTTACCATTCACATGGGGTTTGCCATGAGATCATACCTTTTGTATCTTTTTGGCACACAGATTTTTGTTGACACCAGTGCCACTTACACCAATATCATGTACCTGCGGTACTTTGAGGATTTTGAGACGATCATCCAATAGAACTGGGGGTTTCTTGCTTGGTTTACTTATATACCAAGTTGGATGAAGCCATTAAGTGGGATACAAAGCAGATGATCGGCAACATGTCACTCATGACTGTATAAACTCTTTGTCTTTGTGGCCTTTGCTAATTAATTTGATTTCAGAACTAGCTATTTAATTTTGTTATTTCAGGAATGGATCTTACAACACTTTCCCCGTATCTCGGGTTGGTCATATGTTATGAGTTATATTGAAGATAAGTCGCGTACCTGTGCATACGACCTACTCCAAGGGAACCAGGCGATAGAGCCGTTATGGGTTTACATTGACCGACTGGTGCATGAGGACATTCACTTCAGTTCATACATCGACCACCGTGTCACGATACTGTTTGATGGGGTTGTGTTGTTTACAAGTTAGTTGGCTTGCGGGATTCATAAGACTGCTGCTTATATGCCTGAGCGGGTGATGCGCCAGTTCGAGTTTACCCAGACCATTCCCTGGGATACTACTGTATGTGCTCCTCCGACTGTGAAATGAAGGGATATGGATGCTCTATTTAATGGTTTTGAGAATCATCTTGTTCGTGATGAGGCCAGGAGTACCGTAGCACCAGACGACTGGAGTTACGGGTACAATTACATGATATGGTTCTTCAAAGTGTCCCATCCGTATATGGTAGAGGATGCTCCAGGGAACTCATCGAGGCTAGTTCATCAGGAGATCCTAGAGGACGAGCAGGCTAAGAGGGATCATGCTCATGGTGTGTTGCCTAGGTGTCGTCGTATCATGGAGCTTTCGCGGAATGGTATTGACATATGACTATTTCCTGATGGATTCGATGTTAGAGGTGTCTCAGATGCAATCATAGCAGAGGCTTATGATGCTCTGTTTTACAGGAGGCAGCGGAGGGACGCCTCGAGAGTGATAAGTCAACTCAACATCCGCTATACTCAGTAGTTTATGCTGAGGCATTTGTATTTTAGTTTTAATTTTTTGATATTGTATTGTATCATATTTGTACTTGGATTATATTTGGTGCTGTGTACGACTCTATTTGTGATATATATGGTTTGTACAAGTTTTAATTTATGATGCAAAAAAAACGAAAAATATATTTTTTTTGTAAATCTAATTTTTCTATTACTGACAGCATCAGAATCAATCAATTTAAAATTAAAATTATACTTTCAATTTTAAATCAAATTTTAAAAAATAGATGTGCACCAAAAATATATTTTTGATTTTAAAAAACATTATAGAAATTACATAAGATTTAATTTTCCCACATGAAATGGGTTAAGAAATAAGCTATATCATTTTCAAAATGACGCGCGAACCCGTTACGTGACCGACCCCATATAGAGAACACAACTAAAAACTTATAGTACTGTACTATGTCCCACAGCACCTACAACAATGGAAGTAACGCCACGCGTACAGAACAAGCGTGAACATGCTTCCTAAACCCGACAAAGGAAAAAAAAAAACCAAAAGAACCGACGGTTGCAAGACCGGTGGGACCCGACAAAGGAAAAAAACCAAAAGAACCGACGGTTGCAAGACCGGTTCCACCGGATAAAACCACAATAATACAACACTAATCACAAAATCATCATAATAATACAAGAGAGAGATAAACACAAGTTAACAGCATTTATCCAAATACATTCCCACACTTGTTCTTATGCTTTCTTTTTCATCCAAACCCTTTTTCTTTATTCATTAACAATAATTTAGATTAACCTAACCCTCATTTTTCACCAATAATAAAACACAATTACTCTTAATTTCATTTCATCCTTATCCTTAGATCTCGCACCAATTTCTTTTCATATTCTTTCGTTATTCTTTTCTTTTTTCAATCAACAATTTCAGTTTCGAAATTTGGCGTTTAATATTTTCATTTTCAATTAAGCGTTATTATCGTTACTGCTTAGCTTAGGGTTTCGAAATTTTCAATGGAACCTCGCGTTGGGAATAAGTTTCGTCTTGGTAGGAAGATTGGTAGCGGCTCCTTTGGAGAGATCTACTTAGGTTATTTGATTTTTCTTCTTATGCTTTATTTTTTTGTTCAAATTTTTCATAATTTGGGTTTGTTTTTGATTATTTTTGTTTTTTTTTGTGTAGGTACTAATATTCAAACTAATGAAGAAGTTGCAATTAAGCTTGTAAGTTTTCTGAGTTTAAGGAGAGATGATTGTGTGTGAAATTAGTTCCTGCTGTTAATTTTATGCCAGGGTTTGTAATACGAATTTTGGTTTCGAGTTTTTGATGTAGCATTGGTGTGATAATAATGTTGTATACTAGATGTGAATTATCTGTACTGAGCTTATTTCTGCTTCATATTTCTTTAGAGGGTGCCAGGATGGGTTTTTAAGATGATAGACATTTTGACCGATTAGTAAAAGCTTCCTAAGCTGGAAGCGAAATTTTAGATGCGATGAAAGAATAGGGTTGTGTTAAGGGAATTGTTGGGTAGTTCTAAATTGTCATTCTGTATCACGCTGATGCGCTTAATTGTCATTCTGTATCACTACCTTGGTTATTCAATTGAGTCCATTCAAATCATTCCTCAGTAAAATATTGGCATGTAACAATTCAAGATTGTGACAGATATCTTTGGTTGGGAGTTTAACTCGAAAACATGACATACTATTATGACTTAACGTTATGAGTATTGGTTTTTTGTCTGGATTTTTTATATCATTAAGTGCAGTGGAGCTTATTTTTCATTTTTTTTGTTCCTTGCTATGCTTTTAAATAGGAGAATGTCAAGACTAAGCATCCTCAGTTGCTGTATGAGTCCAAGTTGTACAGAATTCTCCAGGGAGGAAGTAATGACGATCTTCATGTTCATTGTTTTATCTTTCTTTTTTCTCTGGTGCTTTGTGCGAGCAGCATAGGGGCATCCCTTCCCAAATATCATTTATAATTTATTGTCAGTTATAACTCAAGTTTGATTTTGACAGCTGGAATTCCAAATGTTAGATGGTTTGGAGTGGAGGGAGATTACAATGTTTTAGTGATGGATCTGCTTGGACCTAGTCTTGAAGATCTTTTTAACTTTTGTAGTAGAAAGTTATCACTAAAGACAGTTCTTATGCTTGCTGATCAAATGGTAGGCACTGGTTGACTTTGCTAACTATCTATTTTTCTGCTGCCATTTCTCTTAGTATTTTTTAAGAACTCCCCTATTTTTTTCAGATTAACCGGGTTGAGTTTATTCATACGAAATCATTTCTACACCGAGATATCAAACCGGATAATTTTTTAATGGGGTTAGGAAGGCGTGCGAACCAGGTGGTTAATCTTGTTAAAATGCGTAATATGGATGTATTGTATGGTATTTTTAGTTTTTATATTTAGGAATTTAATGCCTATTGATGTGCATTTAGGTTTATGCTATTGATTTTGGTCTGGCTAAGAAATACAGAGATAGTTCAACCCATCGACACATTCCTTACAGGTACAGCAATTCCGTTGGTATGCATTAAATATGGTACTTATCTTTGTTATTCCTATTTGTAAAGTCTTGATAGCATAGTAAAAACATCCTAGTCTAGTAGGAACCACATTTATCTGATGGCAGTTGTAACTCATGTATCGCGTAGCTGTTAAATGCGAAAAGACCACAGATTAGGGAGGATGTGCTAACATATATTCTTTCTTGTTAACCCACATCAGTCTTTGAGGATTCCTATAATCCTATCCCCGACATTAGTGGCATGCAATATTAATGCCCTTCTGTCTACTTAGACCAGGACTCCTAAATTGTAAATAGTGAGTAAAGCGACTACACTTCAATCTAAGCATGCTGTGCAAAATAATGCTCTGTTGACTTCTAGTCATAGAATGTCGCAAATTATATTCCTGATGGTAGAAATTTAATGCATGACATTTCCTGAAGCTGTGGTTCTTCTCCTATGCCTGAATATGCAAGCAAATCTTCCCAGTTATAAGAAAAACTGAATTTTATGCATGTATTTGCATTGTGATCTATTCTTCCCAACACCATTCATATTTGTGACCACCTTTTAATTTTACACTGATACCATTGTTTTTGTAAGATATAATTTATAAGCTGATGGGTTGATGCCTTGGTGGGGGGAAGTGTAATATATGCATACTGTTTTAACACTTCCTTTCACTTTAGTTTCTGGTTTCTAGATTCTATTAGGGCCAGGTTATGAATCTTGTCGGCAATATCATCAATATTTCAGTCGTTTATTCCGAGAGTGTAGACCTGGCTGCTACTATTTGAAAATAATTTTTTGGGGCGATTTGTCTAATCTGTTAAATCATTAACACTGAAGGGAAAATAAAAATTTGACCGGAACTGCGAGATATGCTAGCATGAATACTCACCTTGGCATTGGTATGTGTTATGACCCTTTCATTCAATTTGTATTTTGAATGATTAAAATTTTGTTATCTAATATTGCTTCTACTTCTATGGTGATTGATGACCAGAACAAAGTCGAAGAGATGATTTGGAGTCTCTTGGTTATGTTTTGATGTACTTTCTGAGAGGGAGGTGATTATTACTTTCTACCTATACTTCTGTGTCTGCTAGTACTGTGTACTTTATCTGATTTGTGTTTTTTTGTTTGCAGCCTTCCTTGGCAGGGACTTAAAGCAGGAACCAAGAAACAGAAGTATGAGAAAATTAGTGAAAAAAAGGTTTCTACATCGATTGAAGTAAGTTAAATTGTTATTCAGTCTTTTTTAGTGCTTATGTTATCTACTCCTTCATAACCCATGCTAAGAATTTACTGCTTATTCCAGTCCTTGTGTCGGGGTTATCCAACAGAGTTTGCATCATACTTCCATTACTGTCGCTCATTAAGGTTTGATGATAAGCCAGATTACGCTTATCTCAAAAGGATATTCCGGGACCTGTTTATTCGTGAAGGTTTGAAATTATTATCATATAGAAAAGATAACCTTTTCCTCATAAGTTTATAATTTATATACTCTCTTAAACTTTGCATTTGAGTCTATGTATGATCTTTGTTTCAGTTTACATATATTATTTGATTGACATTTCAACAGGATTCCAGTTTGATTACGTGTTTGACTGGACTATCTTGAAGTATCAGCAATCACAGCTTGCCACGCCTCCAGCTCGGGCCGTTGTAAGTGTTATTCATTTTCTACCCTAGTTGTGATTATCATTTCATCTGAAATAGATGTAACTCATAGGCGCACCTTTGTTTAGATTCCTGGTACTGGAACCAGTTCTGCAATGCCTCCCGCAGTTACCAATGCTGACAGACATACAGGTACTTTATTTAAGATCTCCTATAAGTATGATAGGCCTTCAATATTTTCATTTGTAAAAGAGAAACTATCGTGAAATATTGAGATTAATGGATTGGACAGAAATATGGTCTTGGATAGAACATTATGGCTTAATTTGATCCATGTAGCTGATCTCACCTAGTGAGATAAGGCTTGGTTGTTGTTATTGTTGTTCATTTATCAAATTGTTGTTCAATGAATTTAATTTTCAATAAAGGGGTCGGTCAAGTGTAATTCTAGTAAGGCAGGATCTTGTACCTAGTAAGTTTGCAAGTGTGAGCCCTTATTAGGATCTTATACCTAATATCATCGAGTATTACTGTTACGACCTATTAGTGCTTTTTTGACCTTATGGCTTTTCGTGCACTGAACTAGGTCGCCATCTCGTTGCCCTAAAATTAAGTCCCAGATAATTCTGAAGTACTCCCTTCGTCCTAAAATATAAGAGAAAAAAATGTATTTTTCTTGTCCCAAAATATAAGAGAAAAAATCAACTTTCATCTTTTTAAGGTAAAATTAAATGCAAATTGCATTTAGTTTACATTCTCTTTCATCTTTTCTATAACCAACAACCAATTATAATTGTTTTTACTTCTTCTTAAATACTTTATTTCAAAAAAACTACAAGTCAAATGATTGTGCTTTTACTTTTCTTAATAAGTGTGTTTTTATTTTTCTCTTATATTTTGGGACGGATGGAGTATATGATTTCTTTTAATATTTATTTATACACATTAGCATGCCTTTGTGGCTTACTGTCTGATGTGATCAATCTTTGCTTTCTGATATTGTATTTACTCATTATTTTCAACTACTCAGTGAAGTAATCTTTGCAAGGACACATCTTTGGACTTCACAAGTTTATATGATATCTTAACTTTTAGCTAGAAGTTTTTAATGTTCTTTCTCTTACAGGAGCAGAAGAAGGGCAACCCCCTGGTTTGGTATCAGTGGATTCCTCGAGGCGCAGAATATCAGGACCCATTTTGAATACTGTAAGTTTCTAATAACAGAAATTCAGTCACCATATATTCTGCTGGTATTGAGGATGTTTTGCTGAGCCTTTTAGACTTTATTTGGGATTAAGGAGGAAAAAGGAGGGAAGGGATTAGGGAGGAGGGGAGGGGAATTTCTCATCTTTGTGAGAAAATTTTCAAAGAGGGAGAGAGAATTCTTATGATTAATAATTTTGTTTGTCAGAGAGGATTGCGAAAAAAAAGGATTTTATTTTTTCTATGAACCTTCTAACTTCCATCTTTTTTTAGTTACCGCCTATATGAGGATTTTATTTTTTCTATGGACAGAAAGGACCTCTAATGCAATGTGGTTAGGTGGTGACTATCATCCCTTCCACTTCCATTTTCCCCTTCCTTTTCTCCAAGCTCTCCCTGCCTCCCTTTTCTGTAAAGCCCCCCTCCTCTTTCTCCAAAGCCCCCTCCTCGCCTTAGAGTGCATATTTTGTATGCGGTTCCTTTTTCACTCATAGTTATTGGTTATGGATCTGTAAGAAGATTCTAAATTTAATTCTATGCCATATTTCACGTGCAACAGCATTAGCTTTGTTTTTGCAAATTCAGTAACTGCCTCATGTGATCATGCAGCTATCGAGTGCCAATGTCTTGGGTCAGTCAAGTGGATCATCCAGGCGAGTTGCTGTTTCTAGTAGCCGTGATGCATTTGTTGGTGCTGAATCAGATGTCCGTACACGCACTGCTGAGGCTAGCCCTGGAGCAGCACACCGAATTTTGAGTGGGCAAAGAAGTTCTCCAATTGGGTCTTCTGATCCTCAGAGAGTAACACGGGCTGGGAGAAATGCTTCTCAAGCCAATAATTATGAAAGTGCCCTTAGGGGCATGGACGGTTTGCAGTTAGAAAATAACGAGAGGACTCATTATTAATATCTCACTTTCTTATCTTGTGAGTTGATAGCCACCACAGAAGCAAAAGCTGCTTTATGTTGTGAAGTTGAGCTGTGAAAAAGTTTGGATCTAAACTTGAAAATCCAGGTTTGTGTTGCTAACTCACCTGCTCCATCGAGGATTGTGCTTTTCTGTAAAGTTCAGGTTTAATTGGCACTTCACTTCTGGCCGGAACACCAAAATTTTTAACATCTTTTCCTGTGAGTTGTTGTATTGGTATACCAGATGTTTACAGGTCACGTGGACCACAAAGGTCAAAATTATCAAATGTAATTAGCCATTGGCATTGTATTCTTGTTGGATAAGATTCCTTTAGTTTCTACTATGCAAGTACCTGGAAATTATTCCGGTATTTGAAACTCGGAATGTTTTACCTTGTCTGGTTTGTATCAAGCTGAAATCATATTATCTCACCAGCTTTCAGTTGCTGTTTTCACTGTAAACCTGTATCACAAATGATTTTAATCTGCATAATGGTTGTCATTAAACTATATTTACAGCTGTGTTAATCATGAATGGAAACTTATTTGACTAAGTTCGGTTCTGAATTCTAGTAATGACTGGGTTGCAACCAAAAAAGGTGTATTGAAATTGTTCAAAAATTGTACTATTTTTAGTTTACATTTTAGGAGAGAATTGTGTTTATTATTATTAATTAAAAATTGATGTGGCATAGTTCTTCGCAATATTATGGGAATAAAAAATTAATGAAATGAAAAAAATTGACCTATAGGACTATAAAATGAAGTATAGATGTTGTCCTAAGATTTCTCTCTAGAATGTCTGTCCTATACCTCAATTTAGTTGTAGAGTTTAGCCAAATATGGCATGTCTCTAAACTTTAGGATTTGATAATAGAAGCCTTATTGGTCATCGTGAATGTGATATTTTTTTTCAAGATTTAGGTGGGAACAATATTCATTTCAATGGTAATTTATTTTATCTTTTATTGTTTTACTGGCCAATAGTAAAACCTTGATGTATATAAAAAACATTGAGATATTGCAGTATCCATTTTTTGAAGTTCTATTGACCTTAGTCTTTCTCTAATATTATGTTCTTCTAAACAATTTGGTGGCAATGCTGTTTTGGTTGTTAGTTGTTTTTTATCTTCTTTTTGGATATGTTCTGCTTTGTTAGGTTTCAGACGCCAGATAATTTGTGGGTTTATGCAGAACTAACCGTGTACATTGTATATTATTTATATATAGTACAAATCAAGAGCAACATATTGATGGAAAAACAACTCCATTGGATGTGTCCCACTTGAGGAAAAAGCACTATTGATTGATAATACACTTGCAAGACAGGTTAGGTTCATATCCAGACAAACATACAGAAAGATGTTGGTTGTTGATTGATTATGGAAGAAAAAAAACAAATCTATACTAGAAAAAAACAATATCCAAACATATCCATTTAAATTGAGACCATCATTTACTAAAATACTTGTAACATAAATAAAAAACAAAAGCCCCTCTAATAATCATGTCGGCATCACTAAATCCAGCTCAATCATGTTGTGAACTACAAGTGTAAGGTGCATTACATTTTGAGCCGAGTTAACGTTACATAAAAAAAGAAAATTCAACTAGATTAACAAACTAAAAGATGAATGAGATTACAAATTTGTTTTCATTGATTTATCTAAAATTTACTTAGTAACATAAGTTTTTGAGCCTATTTGTTTAAGAATTTATAAAAATAATGACTTAATTGTAATTTTAGCCCCCCTCTTTAATTTTTTTCTTGATTTTGATTTTCTACTTTAAAAATTAATATTTTAGTCCATTTTTAAAATTTTTTGTTAAATTTTTGTCCCCCTTCAAATCTGAGTGTATGCCACGTTATTTTAATATTAATATAATTCTTTTTTTATTTCATATTTATTTTAATAATTTCTTTAATTCAGATAATATTTTTTATTTCATTTTATTTGATGTTAAATATTAAAATTCAAAATCATAAAATTTTCAAAATATTTATCACAAATGAGTCTTGAACCTATGCCTTTTCACTCTCAACACCAACACTCTTATCACTAGGCTGTGACAATTTTATTGTTAGCTTTTGATCTGAATTGGATCTACACTTGTCCTTCAAACGGGAAGCCCAAAAACAGTCCAAGTTAGGGACTGTTAGGCAACTTCCCACCCGACCGTTGGAGGACGTGGTCCACGATCTCATGACAGTCATCTTAAACTGTCCTCCGAAAATCACGGGTCCAACCCTATTCTCGCAGAGCAGTTGACCAGGGGAGAGTCCACTTGTTAGATTCTATACACACGTAAGCCCTGACAGTTCCTGTTATTGGGCCTCAACGTGGCTTAATAGTGGGACCTTGGCCCAATGCCGGGGGTTATAAATACCCTTTCTCCTAAGAGGGTCAGGTATTCAATTCATCTATCTGGACTCATACTTGCTTGCTCATTTCGCAATTTACTTTGCCATCAGAGTGTCTTGCAGGTACCCCCCATCTCATTCAACTTTTGCCCGAGCTAGTGTGATGGTCCATTTCTGATCAGATAAGATCAGTGGCGTCGTCTGTGGGAATCTTGCTTCCCCGTCTTCTATTTACTTGAGATCAAAGCTAAACAATCCACGATTGTCATGGCTGACCAGACTCCAGAGAACATGAACGTCCGTATCATCGACGTCAACAACACCGTCGATAACAATGTCAGCTTCGACAACACCGGTACCGTCGGTCATAACACAACCCCCAACGTTAATATGCCCAAGCCTTCTAACTATAGAGACGGAGCAACTGCTTCGTCATCATCACTGCCTCGTCGACTTGAAGATGATCAACCACCTCCTCAGAACTACCAACACGTCTAGTTCCATGAGGTCCCCGTTCCCGTCGGGGCAGACCCCGCGACCAGGGCACTGTTCGCGACAATAAATCATACCAACTACCTGATCTTCGCCCAGGGAGAAAGATTGAGGGCGCTCGAAGACGATCAGAGACCTCCAAGAAGGTACATGAGACCTCAATCTCCTCCTCCCCGACAAGCAGAGGAACATCCCCAATCTCCCTCACATAGACGTAGTCGGGACATCTCTCGAAGCTCGTCTCCCCGACAAATCAGGCGATGGCCCGCGTTAGAAAGGGAACAGCCCGTTGATACGGGAAGGCGCGATCACGACCCCTCGCGTCAAGAACGAAGACCCCTTAGAGACAGAAATAGGGGAAACCACGAACGACCATATCGCCTGAGGACCGCTCCGTGCGACCAGGGCCACCGTAACCGCCACTACATCAGATCTCCGTCTCGCTCGCCCGAACGGAGTGACGAGGACGACCCCCGCGGTCCCTTGTCACAAGCTATCATGGAGGCACCCATTCCCCCGGGCATGGAGAAGCCTCCCCACCTAAAGGAATATGACGAATCGCCGACCCGGTCGACCATATAGACGGGTTTGAAGTTATGCTACACTATCACAATGTCGGGGGACCAATCAAATGTCGGTTGTTCTCCACGACTCTGAAGAAAGCTGTGATGGAATGGTACAAAGGTCTCGCCCCAGGGTCAATTACCTCTTGGAAAAATCTGAAGAACCAATTCATCAGTTTATTCACTGCTTCACGACGACACCCGAAGACCGAAGCAGCCCTTGAGGCCATCATCTAGAGACACGATGAGGCCCTGAGGGAATTTATTGATCGATTTAACTGGGAGGCTATCCAGGTCTCCTGTACGGACCATATAAAGAGATGCCTACTCGAAAGAGGACTCCTCCCAGGCACGGAATTCAGAAAGGCCGTAGGCATCGAACCAACCCAGACATTCAATTCCTTCCTCGAGAAGGCCATAACCTACATGGACTACGAGGAGAGAGAAGCGGCCAACAGAACCCGGGATCCCAGGAATTACAGATCTACCAGTCATCCGCGATAAGACACCGCCCCTCCTCAACGAACTGGCGAGAAGAGAAGGGACGAAAAACCCTGAGACGCCCGGGAACAAAGGGGACCCTCGGGGAGGTTCACCGAGTACCCGCCGCTAACGGCTTCCCGCGAGCACATCTTAGCGGAGTGCGCGAATACAGATTTCAAGGACGGCGGTGTCAAGCGTCCTCGCCCCGCTCCTGCTAAACCCGGGGTAGATCAAAGCAAGTACTGCCAGTATCACCGGAGCCATGGGCACTTGACCAAAGATTGTGTCCATCTCAAGGACGCCATCGAGACCCTTATAAAAGGGGGGAGACTCGGGCAATATCGGCGCGGCGACGCCCCTCGTCGAGATTCCTGTGAAACGAGGGAAGTAGAGGGGGATGCCTCCATGGTCATCAATGATGGAGGTTTTAATGATTTGACCATAAATTCATCAAAGAGGAAGCTGGACGAACTGGTCAACGCGGCTCCCCCGTAAAAAGTGACCTTCGAGAGGGTGAAAGGAAGATTAGAGCCAATCATCTTTTACCTCGAGGAGCTTCCGGGGGGGGGGGGGGGAATTCATCCATCCCTCTTCTGATAAGGGTGAGAATGGCCAACTTCGACGTCCATCGCGTCCTGATTGACGAGGGAAGTTCCGTTGACGTGATGTACAACCAACTGTTCAGAACCCTGCAGCTCGACGACTCTCACCTTTCACCATACGTGGGGTCATAATTGCAGGGCTTTAATGGCTCGACCTCAAAGCCGTGGGGGTACGTGGAGCTTATGGTCACCTTCAGCGAAGATACTGCTACCAGGCAGGTCAAGGTGCGCTTCCTCATCATCGACTGCCCATCCCTCTACAACTGCATCCTTGGGAGGCCGATATTGGCAAAGCTGACCGCGGTACCCTCCACCGTCCATCTGAAGATGAAGTTCTACACCAAGAGGGCATGGGTCACCACCATTCAAGGAGACCTAGCAGCCGCCCGAAGATTCTTCAGCAATGACCAAGGGACATAACACAGTCGACATCGGAGAACGGCCCGCCAAGAAAGCTATAACTGTGCGACCAGAGCCTCAGCAGTCAGAGCCACCT